TAATCATAAAACTTCTATTTAAATTGTTAAAGCATTGATAGACAATTTAAACCATCCATATCCATCCAATTGACAAAACAGAAATTTCAATCGTTCATCAATTAACACCCACGCCATGGTATAATGACTATCAGAAATATGAACTGAGCACATTATACTAGACATCCCTAACCATACTCCCATACTAGTTCATTTAAATTATTAAAACAAAGACTAGTAATAGAAATCCTCCTTAATCCCTGACGGCATGAGAATTATCGTTTTATTACACGACGTCCTTTTTAATCCTCCATCTTAAAACCTGTGACTGACATAATATGTCAACTAAGAAGTCTCACTACACATTATATAAAACCCCAACGGTATCTCATACTTTCCCAACCAAACTGGTTAAAACAAACAGGTAAATAAAAGCTCATCCACTCCTGACAGTATACAACCCTGTATTTAAATTACATGACATCCACATCCATAACCCAACCAACCCTCATGGAACTTAAATATATCATAATTCTCTTTGATATAAAAGCCTAGAAATACCTGTTATCTCAGTTCATTGAATTTGCTAAAACAACTAGCAATACGGTTTTCCTTCCTTCCGACAGCATTTACATTTAATATTTTATAATTCATACCGTCTTCTCCAGTTAACCCACCAACTTATACTAACTGTTCTAAGGATCTAACAAGTTAATTTTAAGTATTTACAACTTCCCACAACTTTCTGGAAACTTCGTTCAAGCCCCTGGAGTCAGAAAACTACCAAAAATACCCCCGAAGGAGTTCTGTTCAAGGGAGCCGCCTCCAATTTTAGGTTGAGCCGGCTCCACCCACATTAGAGCCGCCTCAACCTCTTGTGGAGCCGGCTCCAATTCAATGGAGCCGCCTCCATTGAAGGGTGGAGTCGTCTCCTTTTCCCCAGCCTCCGTTTACCCTCTCTGCTTCTTCTGTTCTTCGTCTTTGCTTTTGGCGAAAATTCCAACTGTCTGTTCTAAGTTTATTAAGGATTATAAAGGTTCAATCTAAGCCCTAAAACTCCTAGAAACTCCTTTGATCCCACTACCAATTGATTGACAAAAATCTAATCAGAAACAGAACAGTTTATGCAAGAACACAAATCACACTTAACTAAACAAACGACCAGTTTAAAGTCTGATCCCATGCATCAAAATTCTGTTTTAAAGTTTAATTAACTTCCTACCCATCCTAGCAACTCCTTTCAATCCATAGTAAATTAATTTACAAAGGTTTAATACTCAATCCAATAGTTTATGTAAGAAAAGCAAACTTCAGTTATTTTTACGTTAATCAGTTTACAGTTCGGCAAACATGCATCAAACATCAGTTTTAGAAATTGAATTAATTCCTAGAGACTATACAGAATGCACAGAACATAGGTTTATAGGAAGGAGATAGAATGAAACTTGCTTTTAGGTTTCGGTTTGAAACCTTACAACACCGTCTATGGAGTTTCCGACGAACGGACGACTACCGGCAACCTTCCTATTGCTCAATTCTATCTCACAGTAAACCATACCTTCCTCCTTGACATGAGCTTCAATCCATAGCCGAAGACCTTTCCCAGTTCCCTTCATGTTTTCCCCTCAACCTCTCTGTTTCTCTTTTCCTCTAGTTATGGGGAAAATGTTTTGTTTTGTTTTAAAAACCCTTGTAGACACCTAGTTTATATATATATATAGGCCCCTAAAAAAACCCTAATCCTAACTCCATCCCAAGTATAAGTCGGCTAACCTAATTATGAAATAACCCTAAACTTAAGTATTCGCAAACACTATATTAACAAATGACCAAACAGTTACGTCCATTACAACTAAATAGATAATTAAATAAAACACTTAAAACAAACAACCCAAGGAAAACAAATAAATAAATATAATTAAAGAAAACATTCCAAACATATTGACAATTAAAGTAAAACAATTTCTAATTAATAATTAATTTAAATACACAAAAATAATCAACAAATCAATTTAAGCAAATACACATAAACGAAAATCACCATTAATCAATTAAAACCCAAAACACAAAAGTCACATAATTAAATAAAAATGCAATAAAAACAAAATTAAATTCCCACTTTATCTTTTTGAAAATTAGGGGTATTACAATTCTCCTTCAAATCTTCAGTATTCCCCCAGAATGGATAAAAGATGGAAGTATAATTCTGGGACAGCATAGAATTTACATTCACTCTAATCCCACAGAAGTTAAAGTTCTTACCCGACACATTGATTTTGTAAATAACTTTCGTAATGAGATAGAACCAGCTACCTTTAACCATCTGGTATACTACAAAGCCTATCGTTAAGTTAACCTAAGCTACAATCCTGGTTTCAGACTCTATGATCATAATATCAACATGAAAATTTTTGTCAAAGCAAGAATTCCTCATATCCTTAAGTCTCCTCCAGAGATTGAGATGTCCCCAGAAGTTGAAGAAATAATAAATGAAGAAAAAATGTTGTTGGAACAGTTCGATCTCACCTACAGAAATGAAGAAACCAACTCACCAGACAGTACTGATGAATACTTGGTCCGCAGGCATGCAAGAGCAAGAGTTGATAGTCCAATAGATAGCACTATCGACAAAAATTTATCCAATATGCAAGAATTTTAGTGAGAAGGCAAATTCTCCACAGTGTACAGGAAAAAGCAGCTTCAGCATTCAAAAGCAGCTTCAGCATTCAAGATAATTAGATTCTCAACAGTGTACAGTTAAAAGCAGATCCACCGAAAACAGATTCTCAACAGCAAAAATAGATATAATTCTCCAGAAGAAGACATCAACAGTTCAACAATAATTCATGTCATCTTATCTCTAAAGCATCTTGAATTTCAACCATTCATGCAGCATCTTCAAGCTCAACCGCCGATTCATCCATCTCTTCTGCTATAAAAGGAACTTTTCTGCCCAAGTAACGATTATCGAGTTTTAGAGCAATCAAGTCTAGAACCATCAAGCATTTCTTCAGTTTCCAGTGTGTTTCTTTTGTGACTTCTTTCAGTTTTCTTTATTTCAGAGTGTTCTCTTTCTGTAAAATATTGTGTGAGCGAGTATCCATGTACAAACAGTGTGTATCTATGTATATATTTCTTATGAAATAAATCATCCAGTTTGCTTTCATTCCAAGAAGTTTCTTATCCCTATTTAGTATTTTAAGTACTTTCGGGCAAAAACCTTCGGTCAACAAAAGATCAAATATATAGATTTTATTTAGTCAGACAGTGTTGATCCTAGAATTTTCTTGAATCCAACCAGTACAAGCAGCCTTAGTTTAATTTAACAATTTATTCTGTGAGTTGACTCGAACTGTTGGCTTGTTGACTCGTTCTTTGCCAATGTTCAGGCGTTTCTACAGGGCGTTATCAGAGCGATATCAGGTTCGGCAGTCATTTCTGTGATTTAATTGTTATTTTATTTCTATGTTATTTTGCTTGTTTCTTTCTGGTTAGATCCAACTCAATTTTGGTATCAGAGCCTATACTGTTTCGTTAAATTTAATTTATATATAAGATCTTTTGTTTAAAAAGGTCTCTAAGTCCATATTAATATATTGTGAAATTTTACTTTATTTCTTAAAATATTCAAGGATCTTTTAGCAAGTATATTCCAAAATCTAAGGTTAATATAATATAAAAGTATTGTTAAGGTCTCTTATAATAATACAAGTTGTTGTGTGATTTAAAGTAAAAAGTAAAGTCCATTTTAAAGAAATATCATGTTGGTCAAACCAATAATTGAAACTTTAAGACCTTGTTTTCATTTTAAAATAACATTTGGGCCTTAAGTTTATGTATTTATAAAAATTTCTATTTTCAATGTATCATAGAAGTAGGTATTGGGTATGTCTGGCATACCCTGGACTGGATGCCATCCCAACCATCTATATATCGTACAGACAATATTTATATAACATGAATGGCATAGATATATCCCGTGCACATTGCTGGGCACCCAATATCTATTCCTAGGGTAAAGACCTCCCAACTTCAGTTTGCGCATGTATGTACATACATAATTGCATTTATTTATTCAAATTGAAGCCGACCGAACTGCAGCAAATTTGCACCCACCCCAATCAACTTGACCAAGAGCCTCGTGGGGGCTAATAAAAAATTTGCGTCAGATCATGAAGAAGAAATTTTTGGTTGTGAGAGCCGCCTGCAAGTGGCAACTTCAAATACTATTAGCGAGTAGATATTTTCAATGGGGGTATTGATTAACAAGCTGGTGGTCCCTGTTTGTCCACGAAATTGTCTTTTCAGAATCCATGGTCGAATAATATCAACTACCCATATCCCAAGGGTATGTTTGGTTGGCCTTGTCCATTAAGGGTAACGAAATTTCATTGATAAACCGTTCTAATTTAGGAAAGAAAAAAAAAAAAAAAAAAAAAAACCTATTTTAAGAGTATTTTTAACTATTGTGTATATATATATATATGTATAAATTTAATGTGTCACTATAAATTTATATAAATTTTTTGAATTATTTGTCTTTAGCTCCCGCGATTATTTTATACATTTTGTGTAAAAATATATCCTCCAATAACAACCAACTAATATCATGTTTAGATCTCAGATAATTTTTATAAATCTATCTAATATAGGGTTGATTCTTTAATGGAATGAGAAAGAGGGAAGAGAAAAAAAATATACTAATGTGATTGTGTAAAAAAATTATGTAAAATATACAATAATTTTATACATTAGTGATGTGACAGTTTATACTGTTAAAGATAAAAAAAATTTACATCACGTATGACCGTGTATATTTTAAACAAAAAAATATTTTAACGGACCGGTGAGATACTCTAATTTGTAGAGGGGATCTGGATCAAATTGGACACTCACAAAAGGTATCACAATTCACAACACTAACAGAAGCTATGAATTTTTAAGCAAAGGATATCATGATCTTAAATAAAAAGAGCATGACCATTGGAATAAAGTGTATTTTGGTAGATATCAATGCAAAATTGAATTTTAACTTTGTAAAGAGTTTTATTGGCTTTTGAATTAGAGTCGAGTCCATGACATCAACAAGTGCTAGAGGTGGACCAAGACCAAATCATGACACTACAACTTGGAATACAGTTACAACCAAACACGGCACAACCAATCAGCAATCAGCCTTCAGCAATATTCAGTTCACTCCATTCATTTGGAAGATATATAGCTCACTAAACCAATAATAAATCCAAGCCTTGGTTGCTACTTCTAATAAATTTGTGTAGATAAAATTCATAAACAACAACCTTCAAATCTAGCACAACCCATCAATAATGCCTAGACTATCCTAAACCAATGTTTAAAACATAAGTAAATCATTACTTGATAAATTAAAATAGCCTAATACCAATGTTATGAATTCAAGCAGCTCTTGCTATAACTTCTATTCGTTCAGGCAGGTCAGCTGGATCAATATAGAAGCCCCTCCTGACGAAAGATCTTGGCACTGTCACCTTCAACACTCCATCTTCATACCGAGCAGAGATTCCTTCAACATCAATCATCCCGGGAAGTCGGAATTTCCTCATGAACCGTTTTGCAGCTGGCTCTGTTGATTCATTAGAGTTAGCCGACGACTCGGTTCTAATTATGAGGTATATTGAGTCCTCAACTTCCACTCTTATCTCCTCTTTCCTCACACCTGCAACAGCAATTCAATTCCAGTATATGAAAATATAGCAACAAACAAAGCATAAAAAGAGAGAGATTTTAATGGATGATAAAGCAGAGGATTACCGGGGAGATCAGCTGAGTAAATGTGGGAGTCCGGGGTTTCGGTCCAGTGAACGTAGTTTTCGGGGATGAAGTGGTAGGGAAAGAGAATAGGGGAGGAGAGAGAGCGCAAGGAAGAAGGATGAAATGTTGAGATCTCCATTTGCTTTCTTGGAGAAAAAATTGGTGGTTGTGGAAGATGGGTTGGTTTTATTTTTGAGGAGGACGAAAAAGCTGTTGCTAACTTTTTATAGGCCAAGTTGGCGTGAAGGGCTTAGGGTTGATTTTTTTATAGGCCAAGTTGGGGTTGGTGGGCCTAGAACTGAAAAATGATAGGTTGCACAAACTTTAGAGCAACCGTTTTTTGGGGAATAGTAGCAAATATGAGGTGGTGGTTGGGACATTCAATAATGAAAAAAAAAAAAAAAAAAAAGAAGAAGAAGAAGAAGAAGAAGAAGAAGAAGAAGAAGAAGAAGGTGCATGAGAGATTTTTGTAAGATGCTCAACACCAGGATTCATGGGACTCCTTACACGTGAACGCCAAAATTTTAACTTAATACTACATCAGCATAAATATCTAATCCACTCTTAGGAAATTATTTCCTATAACAAATCACAACCCTCACTAAAGGGAATGGAAAAGGGAAAAGGGAAAAAGATGTTAGCATCAAAATCCTATTCAGCATAATATACTCCGCCGTATTCACCGGTGCAAGTCTGACTGACACACAAAACACCACATTACCCACACCGCTCTATGGAGAAATTTCAAAATATATGCAGTTAAGTGTATACTCCGTGAATCATTAGCAATTCTAGTTCAGTGGTATTTTCCAACCTTCAAACTAGAATGTCGATGGTAAGGTACATGTAAGAGTGAACTTAGATTTCAAAAAATAGTCACACGTCTAGGAATCAAATCATGCAGCAGTGTTAAATCATTGCATTGAGGCCTACTTAGAGCTGTATTTAACTAACCTCATCAACAAATCTGCTACACCCACAACCAGATTGTTACAATCTTCGCAGGGCTTTTTAACTGCCAGATCTCAGCAGTTGAAGGAAATAATTAATCTACTCAAAAACAGCATCAGCTTAATGAATCTACACTACATAATAAGAGCGAGGGGATGCTAATTCTGAGCATTACGACAAACTTGTTAAAATTATAAAAGAAAAAAAAAAAAAAAATTCAAGTTTCTTGGTTAGAAGAAAATTTTAAGTTGAGAAACCAAACCATCCTTTTTCTCTTTTATTCCTTTTCCTTCTTCTTTGATTGCTAATTCAGTAAAACATAAATAGTTTTCTCATTCAAATTATTTGCTTCCTTTACTCAGATTTCTCAGCTGTAATTGTTTTGTATCAAAATGTGTTCCAAACTTTTTCTTTCCAGCACAAACAAACAAAAAATAATTTAAAAAATATAAAACATTCAAAGATGTCCGGCAAGGCACTGAAGAAGATTTTGGGGTCACCTAGTTGCACAAGATGGTTGTGATGCTATGGTGTTTGGCCAAGCGTCATATAAATTGCTCTCTGAAATTTTGATGGTACTAATTAGAGTCTATTGTATTACCTGGGGTTTACAGAAATAAGGGCATCCAGGATCTCATGTGCCCCAACTATAAACGATGTGTGAGGAAAACATATTATCAGCAAATTGTTGTACATCCAGAAAAAAAGAAAAAAAAAGAAAAGTAGATAAAAGCAATTTTAACCAAAGCATGTCTTAACCACCGATTTCTTGTTGTGACTAGTATGCTCAGTCTCAGAACCAAAAATAGTTTTGTTAGAATTATAATGATCATAATATTAAGACAGCATTGTCTGGGATACTCAAGAGAACTGCCCAACATGGATTAACATACAATCAAAATATAAAAAGGGGTACAAAAGCCAGAAAAACAGACTATAAGTTTCAAATATTCTATTCATAACATAATAGGTTGAAGGAACAACAAATAATTCAACTATGACAAATTTGACACATCAATGACAAACACTTCACACAATTATTTCATCAGCAAATAATTACCATCCCGAATTTTATGGTAGGTAAGTACAACTAACAAAATATAGTTTAGTCTTTTGTGGTACCCACTTCTTGTATTTACTCCAAGCACAAAACCATAGCTATATGAAGTAATTTTGCTAGAAGATCCATAATTTCTCACCGGAGAGTGGAAAGGATTTGGTGTCACAGGAAGGGTGATATGCAGTCCAGCAATACAACGAACTTGTTTAGCATTTGCACATGAATCCCAAAGCCCTCCTTTAACAGAAAGTAGACCAAAGGGCAGTGGGAGTAACAACCGCACTTTCTTGGCCTTTTGATGAATTTCCAATAATTCGTTCAATCTAAATGGTAGTTCAGCAGAACATGGGAACATGAAGATCTTCATTGACAACACATACTTTGATGTGTTTCCTTCCAATGCTGCTTCTGGCAAAGAGAATCACAATAAACCACTGCATGACACCAGCCACAAAGGATGGACTGTTCTTCATGAACTTCTTTCTCGCACATTGCACACTGCCTCAAAGTGTCCAATGAATTCACTTGCACATCCACAAAAAACTCCTCCTTAGGCAGCTCTGCATATTTTGTGGGGGTTGAGCTGGCCGTTGAGTTGGTTTTTTCTTCATATCCCTGGCCAGGTGGGTGTGAAATCGTCACTGCAACCAGATCGCTACTCCTAGCCATTTCTGGCGGCCATTGGACATCAACGGTTTCAATGAATGGCTCAAAGCAGATCAATGTCGACCATTTTGGCCCAGCATCCTTATCCTGTTGGAGTAATGGGTGAACTAAAGAAATGGCTTTCATGACTGCATACACAAACTTAAGCTCTTCCAGGGTGGGATTTCTAAACTGAAGTCCATCCGATGATGTGCAACGGGCAACATCAACAACAGGGAAACGATTAGTACCAGACATTTCCAAAGATAATGACTTTACCATTCTTCTCATCGAAGGAAACATCAAAGATTCCAGCTCATATGTCACCCTCAAAACCTCAACATTCGGAACACGAATGGTCTCCCTTGAGCCGGTCATCGTCTGGGCATCATTTTCTGACCTAAACATATAAAACCCTAAATCCCCACCATCCCCACCGATAAATTGAATACAAGGGAAAGGCTGTTTCTTGCCTGACCAATCTGAATCTTTCCCAACCTGGATACCAAAAAGATGACCAGGACGCAATCGCTTCCACGGATCCGTCCTATACAGAGCAGCTGAAGCTCTGTAAAGTGACTTAATGAAAGGAGGGGCAATGCCTTCTACCTTCATAAGACACGCTCCTGATCCGGGACCGAGTCCCGGACCTGAACCAAATTGTTCTTGAAATTTCGCAAACAAATTCTTCAAATGTACATCCATATCGATTCCTACTATCCCAGATCAAAGTATCAAAATAAATTCACTGCAACAACACAGTAAACGCTATACTGGTAGTGAATTGATAAGAGGGAAGATAGTATTCAATCAAATGCAGCAAATCCTACTTTAGTAGTATGGTGATTACTATCGATTTGAACACAGGAGGATCAAATTACTATCTCAAAAGGATTGTTCTTTCTCTGGTAGATTACTGGATTTGTTCTAAAAACAAAATCCAATTAAATTAGTGAGCAATTTGACTTTCCTAGTGGGAAATACAAGTATATGTCTTAACAAACTACTGAAATTAAAATAAATATCAAATATTACTGCTTCGTACCAGCTTGCTTGTAATTCTCTTTGAAGCGATCCACAGATGGATGAGATTGAACTTCTGCTGTGTTGTAATGGAAATGCTTGGGTTAACAATGGAAACGCCGAAGTCTAGCAAGAGTCAAGATCTGCGAGCATTACTGTGACCATGGTCGGAAGAATTTGTAGGAATGTGCAGTTGTCAACGGGTGTTTTAAGCCGGGTTAGTGTATCCAAACCCGCATATTCTATTTTAACCCAAAACCAACCCGACCCAGTTCTTTCTCTTCAATCTTCGTTCTCACTTCTCTCATCCATACTTAAAGGATTTTTACCATTTCCACATACGGAACGGAACCATTCTACAAAACACATCTTATAGTCTATCTCTATATATATATATATTACCCATATCTCTATAGATCTTAAGAGTATAAGTTCGGACGATGATGCATCCCGCAGCAAGCATGTTCCCTCCTCCAATGGCTCCACCGACCATGGATCCTCAACAAAATCATAATCAATACCAACAATACCAGCAATGGATGATGAATCAGAATCAGCCCCCAACCCTACAACAACAGCCCCAACACCCCATGTATTACCACCAGCAACCACCGCCTCAGGCGACGGCGCCACCGCAGCAGCTCCAGCATCCACAACCGCAACCGCAATACTCGGCCACCGCTCAGCCCGCAAGCGCTGACGAGATCCGTTCCCTCTGGATAGGAGATCTCCAGTACTGGATGGACGAGCAATATCTTATGAGCTGTTTTGCTCATACTGGCGAGGTAATTACCCTTTCTTTCATGCCCTTATTTTGTTATCTCATCCGTTGATACATGCCCATGTGTTGTTTGTTTCCATGTCTTCTTGATCTCATTAGTTTGTTTATGTCTTCCAGTGTTTGCTAAAATGTTGAATGGTTGAGAAACACCAAATTTGTCAATTGTTGATGAAAGTGTTGTGAGAGGGAATAAATAAACAAACTAGAAAGAACATATTCATCAGATTGTGGAAGTAGGCACCCGATACATATAAAATGAGAAATTTTTTATCTAAAATGGTTTAATTATTTTTTTTTGATAAGTCTAAAATGGTTTAATTATTATGCCAAAGACCAATAATTGCCCCTCAGAAATAATACGTATGAAGCTGATCTCAAATAACTGGGTAAGGTTTGATTATTTGTTATTGAGTTATTGGTTTATTTATGTTGCCTTCCTTTCTTTTATAAAATATATGTTTCTTAGAATACAATGTGCAAAATGTACCTTCCAAACCAAAGAGTCTATATTGTTTTGTATTTGAGGTGGAGAAAATCTAATGAAGAGGATTCAGACCTACTTGACATGCCATGAAAGAAAAGGGGGAGGAGGGGCGGGTGTAGGATTTTGGAAGGATGGACTTTTATTGGAATGGAATGGAATGGAATGATTCAAGATTTGTATTAGATGGAGCTTATGGGTTGAGACTTGAGAGTGTAGGAGTGTAAAGTAACAAAGCAAGAGGGTTGGGTGTTTGCATTTTTATACAATTTTGATTTAAAAATATAGAAACAAGAGATAGATATGTGAAAATTTGAAAGCTGTTTTAAACAATAACTTAATGTAAAAGATGCTTTCAATGATTATGTCTGAAACTCTGAATATAAAAATGGTTTTTTCTATATGAAAATAACCTTGTAATTAAGCACTAATCATTGACAAGAATGCTTCCATTTTTATATATTTATTTTTATAACATGATCTCCACTAAGGTGTGTGACAACTGAGTCATTGGTTGGATACGTACAGTTGAAAATCACAGACCTCACTTGTGAGTGGCCATCCTTGCCATTGCAAACTAATAGGGGTTTCTTAACATTTAAAGCAGCATGTTTGATGTATATTGTGCTTGCAAGTTGTCATTAAATATTCAAATTAATGTATCACCACTATAAAATTCGTGTATATCTTCATGTTTACCATGCAACCCTGGAGACATGTGCATGTTTGTAGATGTATATGCATGTACTGTAAAAGAATTGGGGGTGAGGGTTTCTGTGGCTTTGTATTCTAGCTATTCAAAGTTTTTGTGCTTGCAGGCGGTATCTGTGAAAATTATCCGTAATAAGCAAACTGCTCAATCGGAGGGTTATGGTTTTATTGAGTTTGTAAACCATGCCGCTGCAGAAAGAAATCTACAAACTTACAATGGTACCCTGATGCCAAATGTTGAGCAGAATTTTAGATTAAACTGGGCATATTTTGGAGCAGGTGAAAAGCGTGCAGATGATACCCCTGACTTCACAATATTTGTTGGAGACTTGGCTGCTGATGTTACAGATTACATGCTACAGGAGACATTCAGGGCCCATTATCCTTCAGTTAAAGGTGCAAAGGTAGTAACTGATAAAATGACTGGACGCACGAAGGGTTATGGGTTTGTCAAGTTTGGAGATGAAAGTGAACAATTACATGCTATGACTGAGATGAATGGAAGATTCTGTTCAACCAAGCCCATGCGCATTGGGGCAGCCGCTAACAAAAAAAATGTTGGTAGTCAGCAATATCCCAGTGGTATGTTTCTCAGTGGCTGCATACTTCTACCAGCATTTTTGTCATTGCTTTGGGTACATTTTAGATACTTTTGCATTTAGATGATGTTATTAGTTGGATACCAGTCCTGGTGTTTCCAATTATCGTCATGTGTTTTAATTCTGAATTGCCAGTTTGGATGATAAGATAGATTGGTCTTTTTAGGACAGGCAGTCTGGTCAATGCTAAACAATGTTGTTAAGTTAGCTTTTATTTCAGCTAAGCCGTCAATTCTTGAAGATAAGCACCAGACTACAAAGTCATTTTCTTCCAGCAAATTGAAAATTTTGGGCATTAATGCTGTTCAAATATAAAAAAATTGCAAAATCTTATAGACTACTGTTGTCTCAAAGCAGGGTATTGAGAGGCTCTATCATTAAGGGGTCTGGGACTGATTTCAGAGGAAATGGTACCCCTTTAGTGCGTGGCCTTGCCTAGGTCAGTTCCTTTTTTATGTATTATATTGTCCTTCATTTCAGTTCCCTGTGGCATTGATTATGCTACATTTTTCAATATTTTCCCAGTTTCTTTTACTGATCAATGTCAGTCAAGTTACAATTAATTTACCATTCAAGTTCTTTTTGCTTTATTTTTCGTTTGTCGGCCACAAGAATGTACCCCTTCCTTTGTGCCATTTATATTGTAGTTGTGTTTGACCTTTTCCTCTCCTGTTCTTCCGAGCTCGGTTCTCATTTACGTTTTCAGACTTAATTTAGTGGGGATAGGCTCATTATGGAGAACAGGTAGCAATTTTATCCCAGTTGCTTGAAACTGCATATAGCAGGAATGGTTTTGGTTCTGCATATTGTTATTCCATTCAGCATTCCTATATTAGGCTCTTTCTGCTGGCGGTTGAGTTTCGTTAGTCTATACCTTTACCCTTTGTCCTCATTTGTTCCTTTAGTCTTTGCAATTCTTTGATGACAAATCATTGTTATCAATATTCTCTTTTTCATGTGGGGACATGACTGTTTCAGTGTTGCTGTATCTGCATCAAGTCCGAAGTAGCATTAGATTCTATTAGCTCTATATGATGCTTTAAATCTATTTTTAAACAGTTTCTACTGGCATACCAAGCTTCAACTTTCTCTTAGCTGCAAATATTGTCTGTTTTCAATTTTATGCTTATTTATTTTTTGTTCCATGTATTTGTCACAACTGAAGTGATGTGAATGCTTGTATCATTGTTAGTATGCCCACCCATTTTATTTAAATGGCCAAAGCATGAGAAAAAAACTGTGAGAGCAGCGGTTGTATAAATACTTAAATTTCAGTGTACCTATAGAAAGTAAAGCAAAATTAAATATATATATATATAAGTACATATCATCATCATCATCATCATCATCCTTGCCTTAATCCCATACGGATGGGGTTGGCCACATGATTTGAGCTTTTTAAAAAAAAATTATGGACATTTATAAATAAAATATTTTTATTTTTGTTAGAGTTTCATATCTGGTACTTGCTAAATAATGCATTTTTTATTTTATTTTATTTTATTTTTTTATTATTATTATTTTTTTCTCTTTGGGAATTAGATATAAATAATTTTGAAGTGGATATTGCGTATTGGCTCACATCTTATATTTCCTCTAAAGAGGTGATGGGCTCAATTCCACACCTTCATATAGTGTTGCGTTTCCAATTTATAGAGTGCAAGCGCGAGTGAGTGCTAATGAACTTTTCAAATTGTCACATGTTCCAGTGTAAATGTCTGTTTACATGAATACATTTGTACAATTACCTGTTTGCTTTGACAGCATATAGTGTTTGTCGGCCCTCTCCTCCTCCTCTCAATCTCCCTGTTTATGTGTGTGTGTGTTAACACCAAGAAAAGAGTTCAGCTCTAATGGTATCTCCTCTAATTTCAAGTGGAAGGTTGAGGGTTTAAGTCCACGTAAAAGCATTAGCTTTGGGGTGTTGCAGTTATTTAAGTGTACACATCTAAAGTTGTTTGTTTGATTGCTAGATAGAATCTGTAACTCTGTATTTTTCTTGTATCTTTATTTATTTTGAATGTCTTTATCTTGAGTGCTAAATAGATATAACAATCCAAGTTTTCTCAGACACTGATTCTGTCAGATTGGTTACATTTCTGGTTTTCATGGCTCTTTTGATGACAATGTCTTGGCCTTTTCAACTACTCAGCTACTTTGTTGGACCAAAATCTCCAGCAAGGGTTTTGCCTGCATGGAATCATGTTCTCTTCTTTTAGATTGAACTAAACTAATTGTTTCTTCACTATCTCTTCCACTTTGTCTTCACTTGTATACTCTCTACACGCAGCTCCATACCAGAATACTCAAGGAATTCAGAGTGAAGATGATCCGAATAATACGACTGTTAGTATGCTTTTAATTATTGATGTTAAAAACATTCTTAACCTGCTCCTGACCCAACAAAATTTTAATTTCAGATATTTGTTGGTGGTCTGGATTCTAGTGTTACAGATGACCATCTAAGGCAAGTTTTCAGCCAATATGGGCAGTTGGTTCATGTGAAAATACCAGTAGGCAAGCGATGCGGATTTGTTCAATTTGCTGACAGGTATGATAAACCTGCTTAAGATATTTCTTGAATTCACTAGCTGTATGTCTTGAGTGAAGAAAAATTAGGCATCTAATCAATTGGGCTTTGTTCTCTTCTATGCATACGTGATGGCAGAAGTTGCGCCGAGGAAGCTTTACGGATGCTAAATGGAACCCAGTTGGGTGGACAAAATGTTCGACTTTCATGGGGCCGTAGTCCTTCAAATAAACAGGTCGTTTGGAATACCTAATACTTGATAACTTTTGATTTTCTACATTTAAAGTTTAAATTCGCCTACAAAGCTTACAATTATACAGGATCCATTTGTTGCTAATGTGCAGGTTCAGGTTGATCCAAACCAGTGGAATGGAGGATATTATGGATATGCCCGAGGATATGAAACGTATGGATATACCCCAGCTGCTCAAGATCCTAATCTGTATTATGGAGGCTATTCAGGATATGCAAACTACCCACAGCTTCAGCAGCCACTGCAGCAGTAGCTTCAGGTAGGACATAAATAAACATTCACAGCTTCTCTTATAAGCATCTTTTCATTATAATCTAGGCAAGGGATGTTTAAGCCTTTAAGGTTTCTGGAGTTCATCCTGGTCTTGTCATCCAACCCATGGTGGTTAATCTTCTGTCATGTTCTTCCTACCTGAAACTTGTTTGGTTGAGTGGCATCAAATTAAATGGTGAACCTAGGAACCATTGTTTGGTGCACTGTCAAAATGCTAGTGCTGTCGAGCATGAAAATGTGAATTCAAATCCTAAGAGCAACCGCTTCATGGATATAATGTTAATGAATAGGTATTATCCAGTCCACCCCATGTAGCACCCTTGATTAACGGCAATCCACTCGGTAACAACCCATATCATTAATGATGCTTACATAATTGCGAAAGTAAACACATTTTCGGTGTTCTGAGGAAGAGAGAACCCCTGCAAAGTGATGTGAAAACCAGACGACATAGAATCTTATTTATTCAATTTTGTTGATTGGAGGTTTACTCATCCTCGACATGTGGATGATTGTTGCTACCAGTTGTAATCTGGTGGAGAATAAGGGCTGTTTTGCTGCACATGCACAGGACAATTTCTTCGCTGCTGCATTGATTTATTTCAGGTCTTTGTTGTTATCTTCAATGCATATTGAACGTATGACAACATTCACCTGATACATGTGAAGAATATGGTGGCTAATATTATCTTGATTGATAATTGTATTCTATTTGGTTTACATTTTGATGGATATAATAATATGATATAACAAAATTATGTTATTTTATGCAGTGATTTCAAGTATGGGTGATGGTGATGGTGATGGACATCTTTGTGCATTGTATCAGTAGTGATCACTATTCGGAATTCGTTTGTTCCTCGATGTGGTATATGTTGGCCATTGCGGGTGCTTCAGTCCCATTCTACCTAGTCTTTCTTTGAATTTGTCTCTGATTTTGTCAACGGGAGAATTGCATCACCATTCTTAGCTAGGATTTCTTGTAATTTGTCTGTGATCTTGTCAACAGAACTGCTCATTTTCTGGCCTCCATTTTTCCATTTTTCCATTTTTATTTTTTCTGTAAGTTGTGTTTATAAGATGGTTATTGATTTGGGCACTCATTCGTGAATGTATCTTTGATACCGAGGATTCATCCCATTGACATTGGAAATGGGTTTTGATGGTAACGTTTAAGTTGTCAAATTCTTTTCCATGTTGCTAGTTTAAATGGTTGCCGCAATCTAGTGACAACTTTTATCTGATTCATTTTTTAATTCAAGGACCCAAATTATCAATAACAGGAAATTGAGAGCTGAATTTTATTTTAAAGCAGAGATGATAGTTGTAGAAGAGGCAGTACTTTTGTGCAACCCAACACTCACTATTGTGAAAACGTGTGTGGTTGGATACAAACATGAGTTGATTTCAGAGTTTTAAAGGTCCAAACGAGTGAGGGAGTGCAAACTGGTCTATCTATTCGTAGAATCTGGATCCTCGCAATTATTGAGGAGATTTCTTCATGCAACACATCACATTTCGAGAATCCAGATTTAACAATTTTATTTTGAGAAAGTAAAACATTGTTGCTTTTATTTATTTATGTAACCATAGTTGCATCTTCAGTTAATCCTTAATTAAATTTAAAATCATTATATAGTTTCTAGATCATCTTAAAATATACTCTCTATTTGATATCGAAAATGCAAAATACCCAATTTTGTCCTCATCAAACTTATAATATCATTTTTATTATTTTAGCATGTTGCATATATGAATTTAGATTATTTTTTGCATTGCACGATTGTGCTCATCTGAATATTTTTCAGATTTGGTTAAAGTCAGGACTAATAGAGATTTTTTGAACTCACTTGAGGACGTGTTTCTTGAGAATTATAAGACAATGTTACTAAATTTTAATAGTTTATCATTTGAAGGACTGTAATTGATATATGAATATAGTTTCTTTTTAATAGTGTATCATTTGAAGGACTGTAATTGATATATGAATATAGTTTCTTTTTAATGTCATAAATTTGTTTGGTGAATTTAGAATTCATGTTGGGAAACATTAGTTGATTTTAGAGTTTTAAATTTTAATAAAATATTTATATATATAATTAAAAAGAATCCGAAGAGAAAAGAAAAAAAAAAAACATTTAATTAAACAAATTAATTAAAACATTTAATTGTCTTACAACTTACTAATACTTACGCAATGTTACCCATGAAAATATATAAAGGAATCAAATTCTAACCTGGTACATAAACCCTAACCTATCAGTGCACTTTCACAAACATTACAAATAATAGGGAAACCATATGAATTTTAATCTCTATAGGTGAAACGTTATAAATAAGTTGTTATAAGGTGAAGAGCATGATTAAAAACCATTCATGTTAAATTTATGTTTTAATAAATCATTTTAAACACATGAAATTAACCTGATCATGCTTAGGAATTGGAGATGTCTGATGTCTACCAAAGTTGGCTGGTCAGGATTTCCAAAGAAAATTAAAAATTAGAAATATATTGTACATATATAGTCTTTAATTAAAAAAAGTTGTAGAAATTATGTGATGATTGTAATCTCCGTCTAAATCAAAAGATTAGATACAGACTCAACTTTTGTATCATTTGGACTATTTTTTTTTGTTTTTTGTTTTTTTGTTTTTGGGCAAGTATAATTTGGAGAATTAAAACACATGGAAAATATACTGGTTACCAAATATTAAACTTTGTTGGCCGCTTTGACTATTTTGTCACGCACTGATTTTCAAGAATGGAATAAACAAATTAATAAAAATGAAATAAAATACAATCTAATATTCAATAACCCATGATTTATAAACTTTTGGTTAGCTTTCTACGTATAAAGTTTTAAAAACTTTTTTAACGGTTAATTGAAATGTATATCAAAAGGCTGTGGAGAAGTTATTGGTTAAGAAGAGATATAACCCTTTTATCAATAGACATGTAATAGTCTATAAATACGAGGCTAATCAGTACGTTTTATCTTTCTCTTTGAGTCTGTTTTTTCGTTGAAAAATATTATATCATATTATATTTGTGTGTCTATATTAGAGTTTATGAGCAACAGTACAATACTTGGTGGCGTGTTTAGAGAATTAATACAAAAATTATTTCAAATATTTTGTTAACGGGCATGTATGGGTACTATAAAGACTTTAGGACAATCTCCACAAAACTGCCCAGAAATTTATTTACTCTTCTCTTTAAATTAGTATTGAATTTATATTTTACTAGCGTATAATTTAATAGCACTTTATTTATATTGTTTATATTATAGTATAATTACAGGAATAAGTGTTTTTGTTTATAAACTACATTTCGCTTATTCTTAGTGGAATAGAATATATAATTACATGCATAAATCCCCAACCACTTTTACGACAAAGAAGTAAAATTTCAATTTTTCATACTTCTGACTTTAGTTAAATCATATTGGGGTGAGAACTGAGAAGTGAGAACAAATGCCCAGTAGGAAAAGAGCACTAAATCCCTATAAGCAATAAAATAGAACACTAAAAAAATGAGTAAATTATACATAACGATTAAAGCAATAAGAGGCCAAGCATATTAGCAAACTAAATAACCCCCAACGTGTACCTCGCACACACTAATGTAAGAAAAATAGTCTTATTATAATTAATCTTAATTTTTATTTAAATAGTTTTATAATTATTTATATTTAAGAGATGTGATGTTATATCATATAACTACACTTTAATTTATAACTGTTATTTATTTATAGAAGAGTGTGTTGGTTGATGGAACCAACGGTCCCAGCCCTCTATATATATACGTGAAAGAAAGTCTGAATGAATCAATCGTTCAGTTTCATAGGCAATGGTAGAGAATTAAAGAGTATTTTTGCAATAGTTGATCTTAAACACAAACTGCTAAAGATAAGAGTATTTTTGCAATAGTTGATCTCAAACATAAACTGTTAAAGATGACAGGTATGTTTTCTAAACAACGTTTATGCATTGGAATCGTATATTTTATTATTGTTGAATTGCTTACAACTAAAGCTTCACTATATTTCTCTGAACGGAAGGATTTTCACTCTCTATTTTTATTCGATTATACATGTGTGAACATGCAAACATATTTCAGATAATACAATACAATATAATATATATGATTCAAATTGTTCGATCTATGGGTTGAGATTTGATGTTATTACTCAAATTGAACTGTGTTTGAATATTTATATTATTATTTGTTATTCAATGTTATTTATGCTTTGTTATCTGTGAGTATAGGTATGTCATAATATCATTTTTAAATATTTTATCTTGTTGCATATATGAATTTAGATTATTTCTTTTACTAGACAATTTTGCTCACCCTAATATTTTTTCAGGTTTGGTTGAAGTAAGGAGTAATAGGGATTTTTTGAACTCGTTGGAGGACGTACTTCTTGAGAGTTGTAAGACAATGTTACTGAATTTTAATAGTGTATCATTTGAAGTATGAATATAGTTTCTTTTCAATGTCATAAGGTTTTTGTTTGTTTCATAAGGTTTTTTTTTTATTATTATTTTTTTATCATGTCTCAAAATATAGGGGTGTGACAGAATGGAAAATATATATATATATATATATATAGAGAGAGAGAGAGAGATGAATCAGAATTTGGAATGAAGTTTAGTTCCAACAAAGAAGTGTTATAAGTTCTACCTTAACTATGATGGTAAACTTGACTTTTATGCAAGAAAAAAAATAAATAATAAATAAATAAATAAATAGAGTGTTGTCACTAGGATTAGCTTTTGTTGTCAAAAGAAAGTGAAAGAAAAGAAGACAAATCGATTGAAAATCCTTGGTACTCCCAACTTAATACAAGAGTTGGTTATTCGGCCCTTATAACATGCATATTTCAAAATAATGAAAAAACCATGGTTATATCATTGTACAAAAACCATAATCATTAGTTAATAAAACTCCCATGAAACACATATGGAGATTTATTTTCTCCGTGGCTAGTTTAAATTGTTGTCACAATAAAATATTTTAATGATGAATTAACTTTTATCCGATTATTTTTAAATTGAAGGACCAAAATCATAATTGTCAGCTGAAATTTCTATTGAAATAGAGATAAAAATTGTAGATGCAGAACGCAAGAGGCAGTTTTGTACGTGGAACCCAGCAGCACAGTCAAAAGGTCCATGATTTTGACTGAGACTGGTTGGATTCAATAATCATGTTGGGAAATAGAGTTTTACTAATATATATATATATATATATCTATATATACTTAAAAGGAACTTTTGATTATAAAAGCTTTCCAAATGTCGCCAACGTGCAAGAGGAGAGGACGAAACATAATTATGTCTGAGTATAATGAAAATGTATTAATACATTAACTTTGAACATACAAAACATTACATTGAGATATAACAAAATTTGTTTTGAGAATGAAAAACTTTTGCATCATTGTCGTTTTTCCGACTAGGGTCTTTGAAAGAATCATGGGTTGACCTTGCAAAAATAAAATTGAAGGTTGAATCTACTGATGTTTCCGCTTTAATGAGTTTTTATTTAATTTGACTTGGGCTCGGTCTACTATCGAGTGGATCTTATTTTATGTGGAGTGATCTCCTCACCTACGTGTAGGCGGAGCCCAAGTCAAATTAAACAAAAGCTCATTAGAGTGGGAACATTCTTAGAGTGTCTGAAATACTTATTTTACTTAATGTAGAGAACTGCTGTTTCCTCCGACTAATAAACATCCGACAAAAACCGATTACTACGTGGATGTGTCTATGGCCCACTAAAATCATTACACAGGGTTCCATTTTTTAGCAGAAGAGATTGACGAAATCACTACGTCAACCACGGATCTGGATCGAACTCGGTCTCTACTCAGAATTCGATTACGGATCTGATGATATCACAGAGTTTTCAGAATTGACGAAACTAGAGTTTCGTTCGTCAAGAGATCCGACAGGCATGTCACTCACACTGCCTTTTGCGTGAGTATGGTCGGCTATGCTTAGGGATGGCAATGGGGCGGAGTTGGGATGGAGTTGGCTAAACCCTATTCCGCTCTATTAAAAAATTCGTCATACCAACTCCACTCCAACTCCGAGACGGGTTTATAATTGGTATACCATCCCCGCCCCTACTCCGGTAGATAAAATACCAACTCCGCCCCGCATACTCCGTTTAATTGCGGTAAAGTTGAAACTGTTGAATTAATTCCTGGACTTGGGATAGAATATTAAGATTTTGAATCTTTGAAGATTGAATTACGTGCACAATTGTAGAATTTTAGTAAGTAGTAATTCTAGCGAATATTTAATCAAAATATATTAATGGACACTTAAATTAAATATATACTTTATATATATATATATATATATATATATATATATATATATATATATAATCGGGGTCGGGGCGGGGCTGGGGTGGGGGCATCACTATGCCCCCACCCCAAACCCGCTTCGGGTTTTCAATTCTTTTACCATATCCGTCCCAAACCTATTTATGGAGCTACCAAATCTGCTCGATTAGGAGCGGAGCGGGACGGAAACCCAGCGGATTGGAGGAAATTGCCATCCCTAGCTATGCTTTCGGCGAAAGCGTTGAACCGAAAGCTTTGAATGCCGATGGGACTAAACGGTAGTCACAGAAAGTTCAGTTCAGATCGGACTTGCTCAACCGTATAGATAAGAACACTTTGCTCGTTGCTGTTCAAACCCGCTGCCCTTCGTCCTCTCCAACTCCATCGCCGAATTTGAGTAATCGCTGGCCGTCACCGGAGTAGTTACTACGACTGAAGAACACTTTTCTCACCACCATTCAAACTCGCTGCCCGCCGGTAAGAATAGACTGTCACCATCTTTCGTTCTCACTTCAGTTTAGTCACGTCATTCCGATGTCGGAGCTGCATTTCCTCCTTGAGTCGCAGGTGCAATTCTTCCTTGCCGCCGCTGGACTCCTTGCTCCAAGTTCTGTACGTCGTCGGCCTTGTCATAGTTCATTAGCGTCGTTTCAATCCACTACTAGAGTCTACTTCGTCGTAGAACGGCCGTTCGCCCATCGTCGAAAAACACGTGAAAAAAGAGATGGGAAGGTTTTGCAGAGGAGTGAGAGGGAAGGGCTGTGAGCAGAGGAAGAGAAAGAGTGTTGTGCGCAAATAATGTTGTGAAGTGGAAGTCGGTTTTTTATTGATATATATTTGTCATCAAAAATAACATTTTCCTAAGGGAAAATTACATATAAATGGAGTCAAAGTTTCATATTTACTTAGAGACTGAGTCAAAGTTCCATATTTCTCTAAAATGGATTGCTGAGGTGGCACATGGTTTTTTACTGTTTAGAAAATTGTGGTGCCTAAAATGCCCTTCTCTAACAAAAAAGTAGTACCTTCAGTGCAAAAAAGTAGTACTTTCAGTTCAAAAAAGTAGTACCTTCGGAGAAAAAGTAGTACCTTCGCGGGTGTTTAAAAAACATGGTACCTGGACGCCAAAAAGTAGTACCTTCAGTTCAAAAAAGTAGTACCTTCGAAGAAAAAGTAGTACCTTCGCGGAAGGGTATTTTAGGCACCACAATTTCTAAATAGTAAAAAACCATGTGCCACCTCAGCAATCCATTTTAGAGAAATATGAAACTTTGACTCAGCCTCTAAGTAAATATGGAACTTTGACTCCATTTATATGTAATTTTCCCTTTTCCTAAAAAGATTCTTACTTGATCAAATAATTATACTGAGAAAACAATTGGTCTGTAATTCAGAACTTTCAGAAAAGCATTTCATGAAACATTCATAACAAATGTCGACACGGTTAATTGCTCTACCACTCATATTTGCAAAGGAAACAAAAACCTTTAGGTGCGTTCGCGCGGTTGCTTGAATTGGAACATTGAAATTGGAATCGGTAGAATTTGAGAAAAAACAACTAAAAAAATTGAAAGAAAATTTTCTCAAATTCCACCAATTCCAATTTCAAAACTCCAATTTCATGCAACCGAACACACCCTCAAAAAATTCATGAAAAAACACCCAGTTTTTGCAGCCTAATTACCAAAAAGAAAAAAACTAAGCACTATCAGTCAACAACAAACCACCAATTTGATAAATTTGAAGAAAATATTACCAATGCATTGCCAATACACATCTCATTCAATATATAATCAAAGAGAGATTCTCATAATCGAATGAAACGCATGCAATGGACAAGTGGAATTGTAAATTCTCATTGACTAGAATAGTAGCTAGTGATACAGGTAACACCCATCAAGATCACTAGCTTCAAAGCCTATTCCAAGTACAAAATAACACTAAAACACGAACACAAACTATAATGACCCATGTTTAAAAACCCAATTACACAGGTATAAAATTTTAGAATATTTAGATAGGTGTCAAGACATTCCTTCTTACATGAATCCCAATGGGCAGTGTATTCTGCTATATATATATATAGATATATATATATATATACCTAAATACACTCAATAAACCATACCAAAGGTCACCCTGCAATTAATAGTTCAAACGCATTGAGAGAAACAAACAAATAAACTCAGCGCACTCAACATATCTTTGTAACCTGAACTCCTGTGATAAAAATAAAGAGATAGTACTGAAGAAGTTGATCAATTAACAGTGAAGTAAAGCATCAGAAAACAACCTAAACATTTTTTTTGTTATAAGAGAGACTCCAAAGTAAGCAAAAATGAAGTCTAAAGGAGGGTGCAAAAATTCTCATTACAAAACCATTTGGGGCCATTTGAGAGAAAGTAGTCTATAATGGTGCAGGTACACCTAATCTTCTTCATCTATTGGTGTTCATAAGCGGTATTACCAGTTTTATCCCCAAGTCTTTATTGAATTTATTCTATATGCATAATCTGTTGTAGTCTCTATCTACCTCCAGTTTCAGTAAAAATGCTCATGTAGCTATAAGTTTGTGTTGGTTGAACAGCTTTTTAAAGAACAAAATCAACATTGTTGGTGTGACCAGCAGTACTAGAGATTTGTGATTCAAGCATTCCTGGAAGAACAGATTCTTCAGCTGCAGGTTCAAGTTCAGATGGAGTAGCTTCTCCCTTCTTCGGTGCAGACTGTGAACCCCCTTCAGTATTCTTAGCGGCGTCACTCAGTAGGTTTCCATTAGTAGAAGTTTCATCCTTCTTTAAAACCTCAGCTGCAAGTTCTGACTGTATATCTTGTGGTGCATCATTCTTTGGAGAGATGGGCTTTTCCATCACAAAATCAATTGGTTCACTGATTGGTTGAGAGGGCTCAGGTTGAGGTTTTGCAACTACAGGAGTTTGGTGGAGCTCAGAATTTGAGCTTTTCAGTTTATCGTGTACCAATCCACTTGGCACAAGTCCAGAATCCACAGCCTGGTGTTGAACTAGGGGTACATGATTAATGCTATCATTGCCTGGCAAAATATCAACAGTAGGGACAGATGCTGGTCCCGATATCACATCTTTAGTTACTTCTAGTTCAACCTTAGGTCCTAACGGATCAGAAGGCTCAGATTCGTGCATCACCTGATCCTGTTTGACAGTACTAGTATGCTCTAACTGAGAGGCAAATTGGTTATCAAGTCCAAACTCTGAATTTTGTTGTGGTAGGATTTCTCCTCCCAATTGAGCACTTATGTCTCTCTTAGGCAAGTTATCAGTCAGCAAGTTATCAGTCAGAAGTACCGTGACAGAGGGAGATTGATCAAGTGCAAATGGAGTACCTGAATGCAGCTCAGTGGGTAAAACTTGCTCTGGAACTATAGGTGCCTGGTTCTCTGACTGGAAAGGCTGCTTGCTATTTTGTTCTAGTTGGGGAACAGAAGCATGGACTTGAACTTGAACTTGTGGATGCAATGCAGGTATGGGAAGTTCTTTTCTTTTGTACATCTTAGCATTTGGAGCAATGTCATTTGCTGCAGTAAGAGGAGAAAAAAGCCCTGGTTGAAACACAACACCCCGCAAAATAGTGTTGGAGTTCGCAATCTTAACAGAAAGAAGATAGCCAGCATCAAAAGAGCCCTCAATGACACCAGAAACCACCTGCCCCACCATGTCATCATCAATGCCAGCAGTTTGATCAACTTCAACATGTTGATTTTTCCTCGTGCCATCAGATGCAGGAGCTACCGGCAAGTGCGCGTTCTCCTTCTTAACCTGATTATCATCTTTACGCGGACGACCACGTCTCCGCTTCACTGGGAGGTCTGTTGAGGTGAAAGTGCTTGACCGCTTGCTTTGTTGACTCATCTTGAACAATCAAAATACCCGCTTTATACCCTTTTCCAAAATTTTCCTCTGCAATAAAGACTTAAATTTTTTTTCTTCATTAAGAACAATATTAAAACCATAGTTAAAGAAAAGCAACACTAAAGGATCATTTACACCAAGTGATAGTTGGTCAACTAATAATATTACCTGTGATTAATTTCAGAGTACAATGACCGACTGGTAGTAAGCAAGAGGCCGAAATCATTAGATTAATCCCTCTCTCTTTTAGCTTGTAACCATTATTCTATAAGAGACTGATTGTGACTGAAGCATGGACTAAAAATTAGGTTCTTAAGCATTATTGTGCATTCAACTTTGATAGGTAAATGTGCTTAAAAGTTTTCAGGTGGCTTCTTAATTCAAAATCGACTATTTCCATGGAATATGGGAAATCATTTATCTAGATGAAGGCAATGACAACTAACTAGTTTCCATCAAATATGCTTGTCAAAATCTCTTATTGGGTAATATATGGCTTTGATACATGACATTGAGATTGGAATTAGTTTGGCGAGGGTCTATTAGAAAACAGAGTGACAGCAGATTAATCATTGCAAATTCCCAATATAATAAGGAGAATAAACAGCCTATGTTTGAACCATAGAGAGAGGCTTCAGAATTCAAAGGTTATACTATAAACAAGAATCAGGCAAGACGTGTGAAAAATAATGACATTTAATTACGAAATGAAATTATTAAAGACCAAGACGAACTGAAGTGTGACCATTTTAGCTACCCAAATTGGACTATGTATAGAAAAGAAGGCAATGAATTCCCAAAAAAAAAAAAAAAAAAAAAAAAAAAAAAAAAAAAATGAATATAATAATAATAATAAAAAATGAAGCAGAGAACTATCTAGAAGAGCAGTGAAGACAAGCCATACATAATATTACAGTATGTATTGTGAAAGTGAAACAAACAGTTCATAAGATGAACATGACCAATATATGGATGTTAAGAAGGATAACTAACAAGGTAGATGAATATATTTGGGAGAAGTGAAGGGACATTCCAAGAGTGCAAGTGGCAATAAAGCTTCATTCATTTTTCCTAAGACTTCAGATCAATTAGTGAATGAGAAGTGACATGTTTTCAGGATAAAAAATGCGACAAGAAGAAGGTGAAAAGGACACTAGTATAGATAGCATGAGAAAACATGGTAACCTATGGTTACACACACATACAAGCTCGCACAAAATGCAGAATGACTAATATACATAACTGCCGTAGCTGACACCAAATGGTTTTAGAAGGAGCTAAGTATCTTAATGACATATGCAACTAAGAATTTTGATTGTTCATACAAATTTATTGGTGCCATTGCCTAGATTAGAAACAACAATGATGAAAAGAGATGAGCAAAATTTTAGAGAAACTTTATCAGTTGTCAGTAATGATGCAACCTTATAACTTAACAGGAGTCTCTGCTGATATGGTGGATAGGTTTTCATATTATCATTCTTTAACAAAGATCGTCTAAGAAAAAAATACGCACACTCACACATACATATATATAAAACCATTACCCTATATTAAGCCCACCTATGTGGGATTTCATTAGACATGGATTAGATGCCGGCCTAACCTAGACACATTTTTGCACAAAGTCACTCCTCTCAAACTTGAATCAACGTTTTCATGCATACATCATAATGCACAAATGATATAGCAAAAGAGCTTCATTTCAATGGACTAGGTGATCAAGAAACTCAATTTCCTTATACAAGACCCTTACCATGACAGGTACTTAAACTACGCAAATGATTCATCTCAGAAACCTAACATCCATACAAAAATAGAATTCAATAATATGAATCTTGAAAAACTTGTTTGAGTTGAAAACAAATGAAACTGATCTCTGTGATAAAGATAGGAAAGGGGTCATCCAGAATTGAGACATTATACAAAATAGAAAATATCCATAGATGGGTTGAAGGCAACATCTTGGCTGTATTAAGATTTTTTAAAAAAAGAAGAAAAATCTATAAAATAAAATAAACTTTGAAATTGACTGGAACTGAACAAGGATTTGACAGCTTCACTTTGATAACCCTTGTATATATGCATCCAAACATAAATATTGGAGCGGGAGTAGGAGAAGGTAAAAATTAAAAATAATAATAATAATTAATAAATAAATAAATAACCATGAATTCAAGCCCAAATTCTATACCTTTTTTTTCCACACACCACTTCTGTCCTTGCTGACTAAACAATTTTATTTGGCAAAATTTATAGGAGCCCTAGTTTTTTCAGGCATGTTGAACCGTGATAACCCTTAACGCATAATCTTGTTCTTGTTTTGTTCGAAACGTATTCTAAATTAGACCTGTAAACCTAGCTTATATTAGGTCTCATTAATGAATTGAGCTCAATTCAACGAAAACAAAAGGATATTTCCAAGATTCTCAACATAAAAGTATCAAGACAAACATGTCCTAATGCTATCAAACAATTACAACCCATAGACAATGAATAAAATTAAAAGAAATGGATTTTTTTCCCCCTTACTTGAAAGAACATTCAATTCAACAAAACCAAATACTCCTATTTAATTCGACAAGGCTAATTTATCAAAATCAAGACAGAGACCCGTGAATAAATAAACTATCCATATTCTTATGAACATATATCTCTTCTAAATTTCATTGAAGCCCTAAAATAAGTCATTGTCAAGAATCTTCCAGATTACACGTAGGTAATTTAATGTTGCATGAAAAATGTCACAGTAGCAATATAATGAAGTACATATATCATATATATCTAAATTTCAATCCCGAGAGCAATACATAGAAAGTTGAGGATATACCTAGGATGGATAGATCTAACAATCTATCGGCTGTTTGTGATGAACGAGAGAATTGGTAGGAAACCCATTTCTTCTTATATGTTCTCTTCAATCAATTTCATGGAAATACAAACGACCCTTCAATATAGGGAGGAATTTCATATGAAAGAAAAATGTAAGAAAGGATTTGAAGAACGGAAATTGGTTTTGCGTGGAAACTTTAAATTCTCACAAAAGAGAGAGAGGCATTATTGTTTCATGATATATGAAATAGTCGAATGTGAAATATAAAAATGAGAGATTGAAAGTTTTTATTTGGATTCGCTCCAAGACTATTGGAAAAGTTCTTTCAAAACCATCACGTGCGGACTAATGATTATAGCTAGGTTTAATTTGACACTTCATAAGAATTCTATTAGCAGGACCACTCAGCAGGGTCATTTTTTATTAAGTAATTATATTTACCTCCCCTACAAAAAAGCCAAATAATAGAAACTTTCCCGATATTTTCAAAAATAACACTAAGTTAGCGTTGAGTTTGATTCAAAATTAATAAATAACTATTACACCCATGATATTTTTATTACTATACACTTACATTTTCAAGTTTTCTAATGGTATTTTTAATTTTAAATAAATATCAAGCATGACATCAACAAACAAGGGAGCTAGACACTCTGATTTTATGACAAAATATGTTATATTACTCAAACTTGAACCAAATGTGAAGTTAGTGTTATTTTTTAAACTAAATAGGAGATCTTTATCATTTGACCTTTCTTCTGGGGAAGTAAATATAATTATCCCTTTTTTTATTCCATAGTATAAATAATTATACAAAAGCCCCTATGGGTATAATGGCGTTGGCGGGAGATTCAAGAAGTAAATCCTTGAGGTCTCGCTTTCGAACCGCACTCCTGATTTGAATAGTACATGTGTTGTGAGGCCGATACACGTGCTATAAGAAAAATAATAATAATAATAATTATACAATAAATGAAAATAGTGAAATAGTTCCATAGGAAGAAAAAAAAAAATGTAACATAAACGAAGAATGGAAAAGGAGGCCGAGGGGAAGATAAAAGGGTATCTAGTGTTGAATAAGGGAGAAGTGAAAATGAAAAGATTTGGATGCCTCAATTAGTTTATCTGTTGATGTGTGAAAAAATAAATTTAACAAGGTAATTTTTTTTCAAACATATGTCATAAATTTGACCATTATTAAAAATTGTTTTTATAAATTTAATATTTAAATATTTATTACTATTATTATATTTGAAAGTTAGTCTTATCGTAAAAGTTGCACCATTGTGACTTGTGTTTTACTCGATAGGAAGGAAGGAAGAGGTGTAGGGGAAGATAGGAAAAAACTTCATTTGTTCGATGGAGTGAAGACAATGAGAAAAAGGGGACACAAATCCTCTCCATAGACATATTTCTCCTACCCTCTCCAAACTAAATATGAGGGTTAATATTAAGACATGTCACTAGGAATTCACTTACCTACACTACATCGTTTTGGCACCAAACAGACATTAACCTTTTCGGTAACGAGACATTTTCTCTCTTCTCCTCTTACTTTCTCTCTCTACACCCCAATGACACCCCTCCCCTATTATGTTCCCAAACACACGTTAGCCTTTTCAGTAAACTTTCATACTCATTTTTTTTCTCGCCAGAATCAGCTATCGGTCCATCGAGTCGTACAACATGTCAATGTCATGAAGGTTCGCAAGAATTAGACAAGGCGTTGAAGAAGAAGAAGAAGATGACAGCAAGGATGACGAGCCGAAACACCACACCTAACCGTGCGGTTTGAGCCACTTGTTTCTAGTTTCACCATAAACGGTGAGGGAAAAAATGGTGATAATAGTTTGGATATAGGCGGTTCGGTCACCGATTTAGACATTTTGCAAAATTATTGATTTTTTCCTAAAAACTTTCGGCGGGACACAAAAGAGACGACTCCTAGACAATCCACAAATTGAGACAACCATTCAAGGGACTCTACAAGATGGGGCCTGTTGGATAATTAGAATTAAAAGTTAAATAAGAATATGGTGTTGCAAAAAAAAAAAAAAAAAAAAAATCCCTTAAACTATCTCCAGAAGTGAAAAATACCTTCCTGAACTATCTGGGGTTGCAAATCAAACCCTCATCTATACCAACGTTGCAAAAAGGATCCTCCTGATCGTTGGACCACATTTTTTGGCGCCCAGAGGGTCAAAATTACTAAAATACCCTTACTTATTAATTTATATATAAATTGTAAAATATCATAAATGTACAATAGCCATAATACCCTTCAGCGGCCATCTTGCAACTAACCAATAGTTTAGGGAGTTTTTTACAATTTTGTCTAATAATAATAATAATAACTAATAATATTAGCAGTAGTAATACTAATAATAATAATAATAATAGTAGTAGTAGTAGTAGTAGTAATATTAATAATAATAATAGTATTAAAATAACAAAAATAAATTACTTAGTTGTAAGATATGTGAATCACTTTTAGCCCATGCGAATTAACAATTAGAATAATAATAATCACAATAAGAATAATAATAACTAATAATAATAATAATAGTACTAGTAGTGATAGCAGTATTAATAATAAAAATTCATAATAATAACAAAAATAAATTGCTTGATTAGTTGCTTAATGGATCCATATACCTATAAATAATTTTTGCAAGATCATAAAATATTAAAAATAAATAAATAAATTGACAAAATGATGATAGTAAACATATATGTACATACACACGTATATATGAAAAAAAAAATTTTAAGTGAAAAATTAGGCGAATTTTCATTTGTTTTAAAATATCTTCCTTGGAAAATATTTTTTATATAAAACTTGTTGAGATAAAGTAGATTTTTTTTTTTCGGTATTTGGTAAAGGTCCTAAAAAAATTTCCAGAACAAAAGCATAAGTTATTTTTTGTTAGGTTTTGGTAAATTATTTTACTTAGTAAATATTTTACTTACATTTTGGACAACCAAATAGCAAAAAATAAAAAATATTTTCCATATAAACAAATGAAGCCCAAAATAATGGTAAAGAAAGAGAATATTGATGAGCCAATGCAATTTATTTTTGTTATTATTTTAAATTTTTATTATTATTACTACTACCAGTACTAGTACTATTATTATTATTTTTTATTAGTTATTATTATTATTCTTATTGTTAATTCACAGGAATTAAAATTGATTCACATATCTTCAAACTAAGTAATATATTTTTGTTATTTTACTATTATTATTATTGTTATTGATATTGTTTATTATTATTAGGCAAAATTGTAAAAAACTCTCTGAACTATTGGTTAATTGCAAGATATCTCTTGAAGGGTATTATGGGTATTGTATATTTATGATATTTTATAATTTTTATATAAATTAATAAGTGAGTATTTTGATAATTTGACTCTTTGGCGTTGAAAAATGTGGTCCGGCGATCGAGAGGGTCCTTTTTGCAATGTTGGTATAGATGAGGGTTCGATTTGCAACTTTAGATAATTGATGTGATATTTTTCACTTCGAGTAATAGTTCAGGTTTTTTTTTTTTACACTTTTGCCTAATATTTATATTGATAATAAATTAATAATGGTGAAGTCTAACAATTTTAATTTATTTATTTTATTAATCCTATTTATTTTAATATTTCCCTTTTAAGTCTAGCACCTGTCATTTAGCAATTCTAATTTATTTATTTTAGCAAATTAGCAACTTCATATTTGCTTTCATAAGAAACAAAATTCTAGAACGCGGGGCACGTGCTCCACACAGGACTTGTAAAATCTATGGACAGGATAAATAAATTCATTTTTAGTTATTCTCAAAACCAAAACAAAAATACCCCTCTCTCTCTCTCTCTCTCTCTCTCTCAAACGGTATCCATGGCTTCTGTTCTTGCTAAAGGTATTTCATGTCTCTCTCCTCAACCCCACTTCGAAACACCCAAGCTTTCTAAAGGGTTTTACCCTAAACTCGAAACCCTGAAGGCTTCAAACCCTAAGAACCCTAACTCAAGAGTTTTCAAAATCAGAGCTGATGTTGGATACGAATCCAAGGCTGTCGATTCGGACCTTCTAACAGGTAAGCCTTCAACCTTAAGCTCAAATGGCGACGACCCGCTTCATAAATTCCTCAAACGCGATTACAAGTGGGGGTTTACGCAAGAAATCGATTCGTTCACGATTCCGAAAGGTCTTTCGGAGGAGACGATTCGATTAATTTCATCGCGTAAGAACGAACCCGATTGGATGCTTAGGTTTAGGTTGGAATCTTATGAGAAATTCCTTAAAATGACCGAACCCAAGTGGTCAGACAATCGGTACCCTCCAATCAATTTTCAAGGTATGTGTTACTATTCAGAACCAAAACAGAAGCCGACTTTGAATAGCCTTGATGAGGCCGATCCTGAGCTTGTTAGGTACTTTGATAAATTGGGTATTCCATTAAATGAACGGAATCGATTGGCTAATGTTGCTGTCGATGCCGTTCTTGATAGCGTGTCAATTGCAACGACACATAGGAAGACTTTAGAGAAGGCGGGTGTGATATTTTGTTCTATATCAGAGGCAATTAGAGAGCACCCAGAAAAAGTCAAGAAATATTTAGGCAAGGTCGTGCCTGCTGATGATAATTACTATGCAGCCTTGAATTCTGCTGTTTTTAGTGATGGGTCATTTTGTTATATACCTAAGGATGTCAAGTGCCCCATGCAAATTTCCACATATTTTCGAATAAATGCATTGGAAACAGGGCAATTTGAGAGGACCCTTATAGTTGCAGAAGACAGGAGTTTTGTGGAGTATTTGGAGGGTTGTACAGCACCTTCTTACGACACGAATCAGCTTCATGCTGCTATCGTTGAATTGTATTGTGCCGAGGGTGCAGAAATTAAGTATTCCACGGTGCAAAATTGGTATGCTGGTGATGAGGAAGGGAAGGGAGGGATCTATAATTTTGTTACAAAGCGGGGTCTTTGTGCTGGGGATCGATCAAAGATATCTTGGACGCAAGTGGAGACAGGGTCAGCCATTACTTGGAAGTACCCAAGTGTTATTTTAGAGGGTGATGATACAGTGGGTGAGTTTTATTCTGTGGCACTGACAAATAATCATCAGCAGGCAGACACAGGGACAAAGATGATACACAAGGGGAAGAATACTAGAAGTAGAATCATCTCAAAGGGCATTTCAGCTGGGAAATCGAGAAACTGTTATAGGGGACTGGTTCAGGTTCAGTCAAAGGCAGATAATGCTCGGAACTCCTCACAGTGCGATTCAATGCTTATTGGTGATAATGCAGCTGCCAACACTTACCCATACATCCAGGTAATCGTCTTTGAACTTCTCATACTTTATTTTTGTTTCATCTTGTAAGTTAAATACTTTTATTGGATGCTGTAGCTCATTCCAGTTACTATCTCTATGTTTAATTATATACTCATGGCGAGGTCTCCAAGTAAGTGTAAAGTTCTCTCTTAATTTGGTTACATTCCAGACCTTCCAGGTCTTTCTGGTGAAGTTTTAGTTTTCTGTTACAATGATATTGTTGAGTTTTCCTGTTGTTCCTGTATTTGGCGATGAGCAATTTGAATTGTCAATCCCAAGACCTACATAATTCTAAAGAGTGTCTATGGTAAATGTTAGCATAATAAGTAAAAAATAAATAAATAAATAAAGTCAAGAGATGATAAACCATTTGCCTAAAAAAATGATAATAATAAAGAGATAATAAAACCTTTTATAAAAAATGTTAATGGTGGAAAACCTTGATTTTTGCGAGGTTTGTCAATTTTTAATTAAAAATTGGCCCACTTTATTGCTCTCTAGTCTTCGGATCAACTTTCAAGATTGCCATTTGTGTGTTGAAGAATATGTAAATTACCAGCACCATTCTAATGGTATAGAAGATTTTAAGTGTGCCTGCCAAGAGCAATCACCGATGGTATAAGCCAGGTCAGGACAAGACAGGTAAGTCTTGCAGACACCATATATGGTCAAAAATACCCGATCAGTTTACATCACAGGTCATTTATACCAACCCAGAAAAATTTACTAGGTTTTTGCCCCATCAAAAATCTGTGTTTCCTCTCTTGTTTAAGGGGTTTAGGGAGTTGGTTAAACACATGTCCTAATTGCTTGGCATGGGGGGAGTCATCAAGTTATGCTTCTGTCCCTGACTCTGTCAACTTCCCACTTCGAGATGCATCTTTAGATTTCTTTTATGCTTATGTAGCAAAGAAGATTAGAATTAGAACTGTGTTTGGGGTATTATCTTAGATCTTCTTCCTGTAAATTCTTTTGTTACATCACGTAGACATCCTGCCGTGGAGAAGGTCCTGGATTCTGCAATGGAGCAGATTCATATCTCCAAAATCCAAGGTTAAACAAAGGGAAGAAGGATAACTTGATGACGAGATGTACTTGTAGAAATTTAAAACATCTTTATACATTTATGGATTTATTTATTTTCACTGATTTAACACTTTTTATTTTTTATTTTTTATTACTTTATCAAAAAAAAAAAAAAACAAAACAAAACAAATTTTATCCTGGCAAGCGAGAGAAAATTTTCACAGAATAAACTCCCGTTGAAGTTGTTAAGACTAGTTCAACGCAAAAGGCAAGAGGATTGGATGAGAACTAGAGGCAACTATTTTAATTTTAGTTGGGATGGACGAGTCGGTGATTACACACCTGACAGGAAGAATAAAATGTGGTCTTTGTGGCAAATGATAATTGTTCATAGTTGGCTCATAATGGTAATTTGGCAATACACCTTGTGTATAGGACAAGGCCCATTAAGATTCTCCATTTCTTCTAGCTAGTAGTGGTTTAGTGGCTATTTTGCATGAACTCTATTATGTCTTTTTGGGTGCGGCTATGTGTCTGTCGGATCTATCAAAACTTTAGACCCAAGGACACAGAGACACGACTAAGTATTCATATTATTTATTTATTTTTAGAGTCAAATAATGTTTTCGCTTGGATTGAAGCAAAAGGAACATGATGAATCATTTTATTTGTAGTTATATGATGAACATGACAAATCATTTTATATGTTGTTATATGATTAATTTGAGCTTTTAGATAAGTAGTTTAGGCGCATGTCCAACTGTACATGTGAAACACGTATCTCACTTGTCCACACAGGTGCTTCAAGCATATTTTAGGAGTCCATGTAACATAGGTTAGTGGTGGTTCAAGCCGGGGGATGACAAAAGTGTGATATAAAGTATTTTAGTGGGTTGAACTTTAGATAGAAACTTTCAAGTTAAAAATTAAGTGCATATGTAATTGTGCTTTTCTTTTAGGAGCAGGGATGGGGAAGTTAATGATTTACTGGTCTTAGCTGATTACAAGGAGTTGGGGTATGGAATTATACTTAGTTCCGTTATTGGATTAAGTGCTTTAGATACAGGCAATATAAAGAAAGATAGGTGTCTGTTATATAAGGTTCAAATTCAAATAAACACTTGTAAGAATCATCTATTTCTCTGCATTTTCATGTGTATTTATAGGAAGGATGTCAGTATAAGGACTCAACAGATGAACAATAATGTAATTTTGCTGGGTTGGTTTGTCTACTTGGTTTGATGATAGGATGAGGTGCTTCTGATACAAGCAAAATATTAACAAAGATAAGTGACTATTATAGAAGGTTAAAGTTCAAATACATACTTGTGAGTAAGAATCACCTCTTATTGTGTAATTTGATGCTTATTTGTAGGATAGACATCAGTATAGGGACTCAACTGTAGAACATTTGCGTACATTTTGGTTTGTCTAGCATTATTTTCATTTTCGTCACCTTTATTTTTTATTTTCATTAAAACGATGAACATTTTGAATTGATTTTTTTGGGTCATTTCATTTTTTGTGTTTTCAAGTTCCTGAAATTATGGACCACTTCTACAGCTGTTTCCAGAAAAGAGATCAGCTTTGAGGGAATTTTGTGTAATTTTAAAAAAAATTGGATTTTTAGAATAAAATATTTTTCGCTAAACAAATAAATTTGTTATTCTTTCTTATTACTTTGTCTGTTGATATTGGTGGCTCAGTCTAAATTTCCACCTTGGTGGTGAAAATCAAACTCTCCATCGAAATTGAAATTTAAAGTCCTGCTAGAAGTGTGTGGTACATTTACTGTCATTTATTAGCAATCTTTAAGAGGCTGGAATTGGCTCAATCATGAAAGAAATAGACTTTTGGATGAAGATGGGAAATTTTTTTATTTTTTTTTGATAAGTGAAGATGGGAATTTTGATTTGTTTTTTGTTGTTTTTGATAAATAGGGAATTTTGATTTGTTTGATTATATGGATCAACTAATGGTATTCTTAGGATGAAATTTACACAGGAAATGGAAATGCTCGTCTTGGTCATTTCATGTAGTTGCTCATGTCTTTGATCCTCATTTAGGTAAAATCCCATCTAAAGCCTGTTTTCTAGCTAGACCTGGATGATCTGGATAAGGTAACCTGATGATAAACGTGTGTCAATGTGTTCATGGAAGTTTGGCCTGTAAATCTCAAGCTTGATGTTAGAAGTAAGCACCCATGTAGGTGCTGGAATTCCCGTGGCCTTTCTTTGGGAGCAGGGGCAACCAACGTCACAATTTTATGGTGTCGAGTACTCGAGTTGATAGTTTACTGTACGTAGTGTAAAATGTTTGTGTTGATTATTGTGGGTTGGCATCATACTAATTATGGAAACTCAACGATGATGCAACTTTTCCTTCAACTCTCATTCTAGATAAAATACAAAAATAGGAAAATATATATATAACAAAAACTACTGGATAAGTAACAATAAATCTCCACAACAAACAAAATAGAACAAATATTTAGGTGGAGCTGTGAGAATTTTGTTGGCTTAGTGCTTTAATATGAAATCTCTTTAGAGATGGAGCCCCCACATTGTTGGATGACCATTTGTTAAATTGACTAATCCATGGGAAGATCCAACTTAGTCCTTGTTGCAAGATAGTATGTTCTCCACTTCTCTCTCGACTATATCTCAAATAATGATATTAACATGGCGCAAGAGAGTGGGCACCTCTGCTCTGGAACAATCACTCTCTCCTTTTAGTCTAGGCAGAACGAAGACATCTTTAAAGGAGTTGTAGAGCTATGTTATAGGGAGCTTTAAGAAAAGTTTGAATTACCTGTGTAATCACAGAATACTCGGGGATGGGACATGTGTCAAACACGGCTGGTTGGACTTACATGGTTACACCCAACAAGCATATCCTATAATTGAAGTTGAGGTAAAACTCTCTCTGATTACCATCCTTCGTTACATTATTGCTTGATTTAAGTTCCTACTCTTCGCGTCACATAAAAACTTTATTTATTTTATTTTATTTATTATTATTATTTTTTACTCTAGAAAATAAAGAGGAATATAATATTATGAATTTTGTGTCCCTGTGTTGGAATGTCCTTGGATTTGGGATTTGATGAATCTGATGCTTAGATAAGAACCTGCACCAAACTCATGGGAGCTGAATTCATTTATAATAGCTTGAATGGACTCATCAGAATTAAATTTCAATTGCCATAAAGGAGCAGATCTCACTCTTACTTGATATGAGCGTCATTCTATGGATCTTTTGACTTCCATTCTTAAGAAAAACTGGAATCCTATAGAGATAATTTCCTACTTGACTTGTACTGACTAGGAAACTTGGCCAAGCACCAAATTAACTACACATTTCTTTCTTTATAGCCTGAGAGCTTCTCTCTAAGAGATCCTCCTGGGCTTTTCCAGTTGTTTGAATCTTTCTTCTCCCTCCTCCTACCCCTAAACTATCCATCATAGACTCATTTAGAATCTCTATTATTTGCTAAAGTGTTCACACTCAGAGTGATTGCTAAGTACAGAGACTCCACAATAAAGATTGAAGATATATCATCTTCCCCTCTGTGGTTTCCTGGAAAACCTGTGTGACAGATTTTGGGGCAGCCTTGAAATAAGTTAAATTTCACAAAGAAACTCAAGTCCTTCCCTTGGACAAAGTTTATTTGCACAAAGAAACTTGAGCCCAGATTCGATTACGAATACCATTATTTATATATTGTTTTTATAGAATTCTTAATGGATTTTGCAAAAAAGAGGCTCGAAGTTCTATTAAACCTTTGTCAAGCCTCCCCCTTGCCCCCTTCACTGTACCCCTTCAGTAAATTAATGCAGAAGTCGAGGAATCTTTTCCTAGTGTAGCCTGCATTACCAGGGACCATAAGGGTCCTGTACTAGCCTCCTAGGTGCATGGTTCTCAGTTCGGCCTCTCAGATTTATCTGCTCCAATCTCTGCAGAGGCTGGGATCTGATCATCATTGGAGGTGACTATTTGTGATTTTTTCAGCCTCCGGGTCCCTTTTGGAGATAATCCCTGATACAGGACCAATCTATCTTTATGAATATTGGAGCATATACAGTTAATCTAAGATCCCTCAACTGTGCAATTCAGCAGCCTAACCCGGAACAAATGGGACTCAACCTGACTTTTTACAGCCATAGCCAACACTCTTAAAGTGCTGGGGCAGGTCTGAGGCTGAGGCTGAGGCTGAGGCTGAGGCATCGGGCTATCTGAACCCAACCTGATGTTGCTAACTTGATCCCAACCCAAATACATGCACACGTACACACAAATACACAGGCTAGGGACATGGATAATTATTAATGTAACAAATTGGTAGTTAATGACATTTTACTTGTTTGTCTCAGTGGTAAAATTATTCTTTTGCAAGTTTTTATTGAATACTTTGTAATTTTGAAGTAAAATAAACCTTGGGTTGTTGTCAACTTGAACCAAATGCAATTTTCCAACTTGAGGTGAACTGGGTTCAAGGACTTGACATGGGTTTTACTAGGTTGAAGGTTGAGATCGGGTTGAAGGTTTCATACTCAGGATAGAGTCTGGGCTAACCCCTAAATTACCCAATCTGCACGAGTTGCACCCTAGCCTGACTTCTCTGGCTTTTGGATTCATTGTATCTTCCATTTGTAGAGGCTCCAGCAGTTGCTCAGGATGCCTCTTTGTTTTTTTTTTCCCCCCCTGCTTTCTGTTTAGGTTGGTTGTGGTGTACCAAAGGCAAAAGAAGGAGAAAGAAAGAAAATAGATGCATCCAGCTTTGTTTTTACAGTTTTCCCTAATTCTGAAATGGTTCTACTTGCTGGGAAATCTAGATATTCAGTTGACATGGTTGCTACAATTACCTTTTAAGAAAAATGACCCAAAAAAAAAAAAAAAATGGGGAAAGAAAGGGAAAATCATACCCGCTGGGGATGAAGCTTCTAATGAAGTGCCAAAAATTACAAAGTATTCTGCACCATTCTGTGTTAACCTGCAGTCTGGAAAAGTATCGATTTAAAAGTAAAACCTTCATGTATCTGACATAGAGCATAAAACTTAGCTGTTATCCACCACAGTTGTAGGTTAGTTACCTTATAGTGAAGTTCTTCAGACTTCTTGGACACTTGTTTTTTTCACATTTTCAAATATATCCGTGTTCTTAGGTTTTATTTTTTATAAATAGTATCGTCCCCACAGCAAAGCTAAAGATCTGATATCATTAGTTTTTTTCCTTGCCCCTTTTCTCTTAGAGACGTCTTAACTCTCTTTTGGCATTTGTTTGTCATAGAACATCATGATGCTGCTATTTTATTTTTATTTTGGGTGTACTTCCTTGCCTGGAGAGTAGATTCGATGACTGCTAAATTACATTCTTGCCACTGTCAATTTCTAGGAGCTTTACATACTGAGTTTATTATATTACTGATAAATAAATTTCATGTTTCGTTGTAAACTCACCAATCATTTTGTCAGGCATGAATTATTGTAGGAAATACTGAAACGAGTTTATTTTTCAGGTGAGAGTGCATTTGGAAAACATTTGGTGCTTTTGCAAAATTCTTTACTTTACTCTAATAATTTTGTAACTTCTACTAATAACACAAGCAGTGCCTCAAAAATTGCAGAATCAACAATCTGAACTTGTTTCTAGGGTTTACGCATTGGAAGAATTTTATTTTTTCATATGATTTTCAAACCCCATGTAAAGAGTTGCTGCCACATGTTTGCAGTTCCTAATAGCATTAGATGTTATTTATTTAGTTATTTATTTATTTTTCTGTTCTGGGGGGCCGTGTGGGGGGATTGCAATCTGAACTATCCAATTGATGTGGTGATGATTAGTTGTTTTACTGTTCTTAGATTCAACTTCTTTTGGTTAATGCACCTTGTTATACTAATCGCCCATAGAAATAGAAAGTTACACATCTTGTCTATAGAATAATCTTGTTGCCTAAACAGGTGAAGAACCCCTCAGCGCGCGTAGAACATGAAGCCAGTACCTCCAAAATTGGTGAAGATCAGCTATTCTACTTCCAGCAGAGAGGAATTGACTACGAGAAAGCCATGGCAGCCATGATCTCTGGGTTTTGCAGGGATGTTTTCAATGAGCTTCCTGATGAATTCGGTGCTGAAGTGAATCAGCTCATGAGCTTGAAGCTTGAAGGCTCTGTTGGTTAGGTAGCAGCTGTAGTTTTAATCAATGTTCCTCATTGCTGCCAACGAGAATCAGAACTTTTACTTGATTTACTTTTGAGTCTCAAAATGTAGAGAAAACCTTTGTGTAACGTTTTGTATCATAAACTGCTACGATTTCAACTTTTTGTATCATAAACTGGTATGATAGGCTTCTTACTCGATTGTAAATGAATAAACTTGTGCTCGTTTTCTACTTTTTGATTCCTCCATTTTCCGTTTGAAAATACTTGCTGGATCAATTGTACTTGACAATTTTTTAATTAATATTGATATATAATTGAAAATTTATTTCCTGCAATCCTAATATTAATATTGCTAGTAATGTCTGCACAGAGTACTTGCTAGACGAAAAATTTATCATTTTATAATACTAACGCTTGATTAACATTTGTAAAACATTATAACAAAGGGATGGGTGAAAATTGAGGGTAATGCCAAGGGTTTGATAGAGAAATATTATGTTTATGATTAAGACTGATTCAACAAGGTTAGGAAATAAGTTTAATGTAGTCGAAAGAAAGCCCTTGTTAAGTTGAATTAACCTTCCCGCAAACCTACTTTGGAGAACTCTGAATACAAGCCAAGAATTTCTTGATCTCTACTGCATTTGTTTAGAAATTCATGAAATGAAGGTTACATTGCGGGGTTTCAAGTTATGTAGATTGCGATGTCGATAATTTATCTGGTAGAGAGAGAGAGCAGGCAGCTGATTGCAGCAGCTGACCCTCATGAAATTTATTGTTCCAACCACTTGAAAACAGAAAATAAAAAATGCAAGCTTGCCATTGTTCCTTCGCTTTCGTTGACACAAATTTTTTTTTTTTTTTTTTAGTGTAACCCTTCATGCCGGTGGAAAAATCAGTATTATATACATGTCAATGCATTATATATATATATATATATATATATATATATGTGTGTGTGTATATTTATGTGTGTGTGTGTGTGAGCAGCAAGCTCATATTTGCCTTTTTTTTGACTTAATGAGCTCACTTACCTGTCCATATATATATAACAAAGAATGACCTCTGTTCCCAAGCATTTACTATGGCGGTGTTTATATTAACACATGAATGGACAAAATAATTGATCAGTATACATATCCCACTAAATGTTACCTGTGCTTCAATTATACAATGTTAATTATGTACTATTTGTGTAAACCACCAATATAGAAGAGTAGTATATTTTATCCAAATGAAATGTGTAGAAAAATAATAATGATATATGAAGAAGGTTATTTGTTATGTTATGGTTGTCTTTGATGGGTTTGTGACTTTTTTATAATAGTAATTCAAATTCAGTCCACTTAATTAATTATTCGTGGTTGCAAGCTTCATGTTGGGCACTCACTACTCAGTGATCTAATGAATCACATCTATTATTATCAACCACCAAATTATAGTAGTAGTACATAGTTTCAACCTCTCCTTGAAAGCTGAGTTTGTTTTTCCCACGCTCAATTAATAAATATTTTCCCAAAATATGCACTCTCTACATCCATTGACGCAAGGCCAGCCCAGAAACTGTTTTTCAATCTCATTAATTAATTGAATTTAATTTCAACCAAACGTAGTGCACATGTACTTGTTCATCACCATATGTCATCATCTCTGTGACCCTTACTCACCAACTCACTATAAATATTCCTCCAAATCAATCTCAGCTCTCATCAATTTCTTCTCTCTTGCACAGCCTTTGTGTTTGTCAAAAACTAGAAATGAGTATTCTAAGTAGACGACGACCATTTGCTTACTCAAAGATGGATTGTGAAGATCCAGAAGAGATGAGGCATCGAAAAGCGCAGTTCTTGATCTACAAAGTGCTGGAGAGAGCAGATTATGGACGAAAACGGTCGTGTTTGAGAGTGAGAATATGTAGGGTGAAGATTAAGATTGGGAAGAGACTGAGGAGGCTGAGAAAGACCATATTGTTAACCATATCTGCTGCTGAAGTTGGTGCCTATAAACAACTTGTTACCCAATACTTGAAGCGCTTGTTTCGCGGTGGACAGGCTGTGGTCAGTCTTCCGAAGTTATGATTTTCTCATGTTTGGCTGTCAAGAAAATTTCGGATATATGTCCATGCAATATATGGTTTCTTACCGTCTAGGCAATGCGCGCTTTTTTATTTCCTTCTCTTCTGGTTTTTCTTTTTTGTGCTAGGAACTGAATTTTCTTGGCAATGTCTTTCTGATAAAAACTAGCCAAGAATTTTGGAGTTGGGAGAGTTTGTGAGCAAGCTTGAACTCAAATTGTAAGACTGAATGTATAATTTTCATATAGTTTTCGAAAGTATGAATAAGGTTTTGTTGAGATTGGATTGGTTTAGTATTAATTCTAGTGACAAATTTCATTTAAATTGTCGATTTGAAATTTCATGAGGTGATATCTTCATTTTGATGCTCAATTTTATACTTCGATAAAGGACAAATGATTTTGGGGGCTGCTAGCCTCCTTGGCTATAATAGCACAATTCTTTTCCTAAATGCCTATTGTTATTTTATTGTGACAGTGACTTAAAAGATCACGAGTTTAAAATTAAAAATTACCTTATAAATACCAAGCATGCCTGAATGGCTAGACTAAAACTTTTATTTATTTATTATTATTATTTATTTTTAATTTCCTGTTGTGTGTGTGTGTGAGACGGAGAACATGGTCTGCATGTTTTACTTATTTAATTTTTTTAAAGCAAAATTATATTTAGTTCTCTTTGTTGACCTTCTATCCAGAAAGCTAATTTTATACATAAATGGTAACATGCATATTGTTGAACGTGCCTTACCATGGTCGTGTCACAAGTCTATGACACTACCCACCAAAAGAAATAATGGGAAGATAACAGCCCGCATTGTTGAGCTGTTGGTGTTGCAACTTAAGATTAATTGATTGATGTAGGAGAGTGAGTATGTGAGAATTTGGGAAGCTGGAAGGTAAAGAGAAGAGAAGAAAAAATTAAATAAATAAAGAAAAGTCTAAAGAAAGATTGGCGGAAGAATTCACAGTAGCCAAACACCGTTGGTGTAGTAAACAATAGATAACTTGATTTTTTATTTATTTTTTTATTTTTATTTTTTTTCATAATTGTACTCACACACACATTTAAGGAGAATTGTAAAATTTAAGGAGAATTTCGCTCCATCATCAAATTTCAGCAAATATCTTTTTCCACTATAGCTTGATTGAATATTGTAAAATTTAAAAAGAATTTGCTCCGTCAAATCTTAGCAAATATTTTTTTTTGAATTTATGCATATTGTTGAACATGCCTTACCATTTATGGTCCTGGCATGAGTCATGACACCACCCCCCACCAAAGAAATAATGGGAAAATAACCGCCCACATTATTGAGCTGCACAGTAACAGTAAAACAACACGAGTATTTTAGCATACATAACCAACGCAAATTAGTGAGGCTAAAAAGGTAAGGAGTCCACAATAAGTAACAGTGTAATTGGTGTAGTTGCTAACAATAAATAGCTTGATTACATATTGCAATAATTAAGGATAATTTTGTTTCATCATCAAATCTCAGCAAATATCTTTTTTTTAATTTCCCCTTTAGTATAGCTTGATTGAAGATTACAGGATTTGAGGAGGATTCCGAGGTTTAACTATAATATGCGCTACAAAAATTATTTCAAAAAATAATATAACCAAATTTACTTATCAAAAAATATATAACCAAATTTTCCTTTTCTTTTTATTAATTTAAAAAAAATTAAATTTTCAAAAATAATTTGAAAGGTGCTAATTTATCAAAAACTACCCAAATAAGTGATTCCAAATTTATTTAGTCAAAAATGAACAAACATGTAATCAGAAGAGATTTGTGGATTAAATTAATTCAAGCAGCGAATTAGAAATCTAACCTCATAATCATATTGTGCTTTTAAAGTCCTGCATTGGAAGCAAAACTCATGCTGATGGACTTGACAGAGCTCATTATTATGTTAGGTTTGGGCTCACCCATTTACTCTATATTTAATGCTCAAATGATGAAGTCTCCAATGCCTCCTCCTCATTTTGTCCTCTCATCATACATAATTGGCATTGTGGGTTTGCCGTACACGTTAGCCCCAGATAAACAAAACTCACAACCACCCTAAATCTAATAGATATATGCTGAATAAACGTTTCATAGAATTGAATGATTTAACAAATACTAATTCATTGGACTTTTAACCGTTGTCTTTAATGTCTAAGCATCGGTTTCAACTGAGTTAAAACATGTTTTAAAATCATAAAATCCCTACTAATCTGTTTGAATTGAATTACAAAAATACCTTTTAAAATTACAAAAATACCATTTAATCTTCTTTTTTATCCCTCCCTAAAACTCTCCCTCTCTCACATAATTTTTTTAATTTTAAAGGGTAGTTTTGTATTTAATATAAATATTTTTTAGTTTTTAATATAATATTAAATAATAAGATTAAATTTGTCATTTTATAACCCGGTTAACGGGTCTGATACAAATATTAGAGAAATGTGATCACTTTTTAAAATGTAAGAATTTTCATAAACAGGTTGGGATTTTATAATCAAAATTTTAAAATAGTGGAGATTTTATAATTTTAAACCTTAAAACATTTACTTTCCTTTTACATGTTTAAGGCGAAGGTTAGAAGGATTGGATTTTAATACTATAAAATTAGAATTTTTTTTTCCGCTTGAAATGAATAAAATTGGAATTACGGAAATTCCAAAATATAGTGTATGGAAATTTCGAGAAAAGTGGTTGGATTTCAGGGTTTTGGTTTTTAAAAATATAATGCAATTTCTTTTTCTATTCCACAAGTCAAAGCTATGGTTACTTTGAGTTGTAAAATGAGTTTTGTTAAATTTTATGTGTTGGTCGTTATAAAAATGAGTCATTATGTACCTACAAAGAAAAGAAAAGAAAATTGATCGTCTCTGTTTCTCTTCAATTTGGCGCAAAATTTGTTGTGGTGTTCTTTTCTCTTCAATTTGACTGCAAATATTGTTATTTTGGGGGATAAAGTCAAATAAACCTATCTGAGTTTTACTCTCTCTCTCTCACTAAACTATTTAAAAAGTGCAATTTAAGGACAAAATCAAGAGGACACCGGAGATATTAGATTACCAAATTACCTTTTAGTAAAATGACCTTGTTTGGTTGCAAAAAAAAAAACCCCTAAACTTTTGCCCTTTTGCAAAAAAGACCCATAAACTACAACCCCTTATTAAATTTTCTTTATTATCCTTTCCTTATGTAAATATTAATTTACCATTTATCTTAAATTTTTATTTTTCAAATTTACCTTAATTTTATTATTTATATCAATTTATCATAGCAATGGGAAAAAAAAAAAAAAAAAATAGAGTGTTGTAACTCCCATCAAATTTAGCCATTTTCTAAAATGATTAACTTATTGTTAAAACTTCACTATTTAAAGTAAATTTATTATACTCAGTTTAAACTTTTTTGCAGGAAAAAAAATACTTTTTTTATACAATGTATTAATAAAAAAAATAAGAAATTCCTTAAATAAAAAAAAAAACTTTTTTTTCATACACTATATTCATGGAAAATAAAAAATTACTTAATTTTTTTTTTAAAAAAATTTATACTTAAGATTTTTATTAAAAAAAATTAATTTCAATAATTAATGGTAAATTTATGCACATTTGATGGGAAATATGTCATTCAAATAGTATAATTTTGTTTGTATTTTTTTTTATGAAAAAATATATATTAAGTGTAATTAGATAAGAAATGGCAGTATGACCATTTAACAAAAAATGTGATAATTCATGGGGCGTTATGTACAAAATATATTTCAGGGGGGCTATTTTTATTTTACCCTCATATATTCTAATGGTAATAAGGGTAAAATTGTTATTTTCAAATTATAGCATAAGTTTAATCGAAAAAAGTAATAGTGACGCTGGGTGATTTTTTTTGCAAAAAATCGGATAGTTTAGAGGGTTTACTGTGAAAATAGAAGTTAAGGGGGTTTCTTGGGAGAGAGAGTAAAGATCAAGAATTTTTTTTTTGCACTTTACTGCTGCTTGGTCTGTCAATGAGAAATATTTTAAGGGTTGCACATAAATGATCTCTTGCGGAGTAAGAAACTTTCATTTATATCAAACATAATAATTAGGGTAAAGTGCAAAAAACCTTCCTGAACTATGTTTGCTTTTTCAAATAACCCACTTGAACTATATTTTGTGCATAATACCCCTTGAACTATCACATTTTGTTGTAAAATGCCCCAATGCCTAAACTCTATTTCATTAAATAATATTAAATGACCATAATATCCATTCTTATTGAATTACACTTAATTTATTTATTTTATTGAAATAAATTATATATAAAAAAATCATATTAATTTGATGTCATATTCTCCATTTAATTTGCATAAATTTACCTTTAATTTTGAAATTAATTGTTTAAATAAAAATCTTAAGTAGAAAATTTTAAAACAATTTAATTAATTTCTTAATTTTTCATGTATATATTACATTAAAAAGAAGGTATTTTTTATTTAAGTGATTTATTAAATTTTCATAAATATGTAATATTAAAGAGAATGTATTTTTCAACCGTAAATTTTTTTAAACAGGGTATAATAAATTTTATTATAAATAATAAAATTTTAACTATAAGTTATTCATTTAAAAAATGGTAGTTACAAATCTATTTTTTTTTTTTTCATTTTTATGATAAATTCTTTCTAATAATAAAATTAAGGTAAATAGTATAATTAATATCTAGATAAGAAAAATAAAATGAAAATAATTTAATAAAAATGACAAATTTAATGAGAAATAGTAAAATAATCTTTTGGGATTAGTTGGTCCTTAATTGTAATAAATCCATAGTTTAAAAAGATAGTTTTTAGTTCAAGAGGTTAGGTGCAAAAGAGCAATAGTTTTTTTTTTTTTTTTACCCTAATAACTATTGAATATGATAGTTACCAAAAAAATGTACTAATTAAATCCAAATTCACTATTACTAGTGTGAATAAGTTTATTAGTATCACTTACTCATTGATAAGCAAGAGATGATTTTCGAAGGGTGTTGTCTATCGCCCAATTTGTCAATGACTATTATTGTTGGCGTTAGTTTTATATTTTTGAATTGGTTGAGAAGCTGTCATCACCCCCTGTTGAGGATTTTGAGAAGCTGTCATCACTTCGTTGAATTTATTGTTTTGAGAGAGGTACAACTTACAAGTTATTACAAGCATTTGGGCTCTACACTTCTTAGGACAGCAGAACCAACCACACATTATCTGCAAGTGAGTGCATGGCGCGTGGCTCTGCTCTTCAACCTCTGATG